TCACTTTGAAGGCGAAATCACATGATCGGTCTGGTTAAATGCTAAGCAAGCAAACAACACTGAACAAATAGCAGGGTGAGCTGAACAATCCAATCATCAAACAAAACTACCATGCAATGAAAAAACATTATACAAAACTAATTAGAACAAAGAAAAAATATTTTAAAAACTCAATGATAAATGAACTTGAAAAAATTGCCAATGCAAACCAAATTGAGTATTGGTCAATTCTAAATCAGTTGTGTTGTCCAGCAAACAACTCCAGCTCAATTATAAAAAGTACAAACTGAATTAATCTTTTCAGTCAACTATATAATACAAATAATGATGCTAAAAATAAACAAATAGAGCAAGCTCTGATAGAAAATGAGAATTTGAACCCAAACATTACAAAAAAAGAAATAATTAGTGCAACAAAAAAGTTAAAGAACAAATAATCTGGTGGAGAAGATGGCATAAAAAATGAAATGTTAAAAACAAATAATGAATTACATAATAAGTGTATCTTAAAATTATTTAATCACATCATGAAAACTGGGAAATTTCCGGGAAAAATGGAAATCAACAATGTTGATACCACTACATAAAAAAGGTGATAAATGTGACCCAAATAATTACAGATCTGTTGCACTGTCAAGCTGTCTGTCAAAATTGTTCACAAGTGTAATGAATGAAAGACTGATTTCTTATTTAGAAAGTAATAATTTACTAACCCAAGTGCAGTTTGGTTTTCAAAAGCAAAAAAGAACAACTGATGCTATCTTTCTATTGAAAACAGCAATTGATAAGTCACTTTACAGTCAGAATGAAGAAAACAATCCAAAACGCTTGTACAGTTGCTTCATCGACTTCAGAAAAGCATTTGACCTCGTTTGGCGAGATGCACTATTTCTAAAATTACAAAATTTAGGTATAAATGGTAATTTCTACGAAATTATCAAGTCAATGTACAAAGATGCACAATATAAAGTTGCCAGAAGGAGTAACTGAAGGGTTTTCATCAACATGTGGAGTTAATCAGGGCTGCAATCTGTCTCCGACTCTGTTTAATATATTTCTAAATGACTTACGAGAGATTTTTGGGGAAAACACTGATAAACCTGTTTTTATTGGCGACATGCCAATAAACTCAATCTTGTATGCAGATGACCTTGTAATAATGTCAGAAACTCAAGATAGGTAGGTTACAAAATTGTTTGAATGAACTGTCAAATTACTATAACCAATGGAATCTTGTTGTAAACATAAATAAAACAAAAGTAATGGCTTTCAACACTGGTAACAAAAATGATAAAAAATTGTAAATTTACACTAGATGACAAAAACATAACAGCAGTAACAGAATTTTGATTACACCTAATGGGAAGTTTAAATTAGCACAATCAATGTTAAAGAATAAAGGCATTATTTAGTGTCCGACATTCAATACTGAATCATAAAATGATATCAACTTCATTATGACCAGTTAATAACACCAATCATAATGTACGGTGCTGAAATTTTGGCTGAGGAGATATCAAATGACAATATTTTAGAGCAAGTGGGTAGTCAGTTTTACCGCTTTATACTTGGTGTCACTGACACCAACTATTGGTGTAAGAGCAGAGTTAGAAAGATTTCCAATTAGAATAAAAATAACTCTAGCAAAAAATAAATATTGGTATAGACTTAGCATGTTTGCTGACAATAATATTCTAAAATGTGTTTTAAATGAAAACAAAGCAATTAAATCAAAGTGGATAAAACATTGAAAGTATTATTGGTCTTAGGAACTGGAGGAAGCAAAAAAACAGCATAATGTAGATAATATTAGCCAATTATCAAACACCATGAAAGTAAAAACAGTCATGGAAGGAGCAGCTAAACTCATCCACTAGGAGTAGAGACAAAAATAAAGGCAATCAACTTAGGACATATAAACAATTTAAAATAAACTATGAACTTGAACATTATCTAAATGAAATAAATAACTTTAGCTTATATAGAATGTTATCAAAATTCAGGCTTAGTGATTACATTTTGGAAATTGAACTGGGGAGAAGGAGAAAACCAAAGCTACCAGCAGCGGAAAGAGTCTGTAAAAAATGTGATCAAAAAACATTTTTATTTGAGCTGCTCATATTTTGAAAATAAAGGAAAAATCCTCCTAAAAAACTGCAAAATTACCTCAAGTGAAAAGAACAAAGACGTAATGTTCTTAAAAATTATGAAAAAAAACATTGCTCTTTCACTATATCTAAAAAATACCATATACAAAGCACCGCCTGTGTAGGGATAACCTTTACTTTGAATTATTTACTTTATTTTTATTACTTTCTAATTGTTTTTTTTTTTGTTTGGTAGTTACTAACATTGTAGATCTTTTAGATTTTTACCTTACTGTATCCACAGCAGATTACAGTTGCGTAATAAACTATTATTATTATTTATCATAAATATCATTAAAAGTCCCTGTAGAGGTAAAAAAAGAGGTGGTGACAGGTAAAGCCTGGTATGTGCAAATGGCTGAAAAGTGACTGCTGTGCAATGGAAATCATTTATCAAATTAATTGTTAATAGTATGGTGACAAGTGTGACATTAAAACATGCCACCATAGTTATTTATAATATTCCCGTTCCATTTGAAGGAAATAAATAGAAAACAATTTTTTTATTTGGATGTTCAAACATATATATATACAGTACATGTAGTAACTTTAATTCAATGGACTTTCAAATACAATTATCTAATTGACCTATAACATACCTAAATACATATATAAATATACATATTTTTTATATCGAAATATCAAGCCATTTGTAACATTATAAACTATTATTAAAGAGCGATGGTCGTTGTGTTGATAAACATTGATTTTACCACAATCCAGTGTGCTCTTCTAAGAAAATCACGAGCCCAAGTTTTGACCTGGGCGCGACTTCCACTAATTACCGCCGGTACGACAAGCGAGTATATTCCTTCTGGCGTAGCTGGTCCCCGCGACCAACTGTGTACTGCGCAAGCAGAGCCCCCGGGAATCAGCGTCACTTGTATTGTGGTCGTTGAATTCGGTCGAAGTACCTATTGCCATGGAACTCTCCGAGATCTCGATTTTTTTCCAAATTTGTGAAAGTCAAGTTTGACGTCTGGCTTGTCTTCTCGGTCCTACTATTTAACGCCCGGACACGCGCGGAGGCGAACAGGGGGGAATACCTAACGTGCGGGGCAGCGGCAGCAATCCTTGTACTGTATAATATTCGTTTATGCTCAAAATTTGAACCGGAGTGGCGAATTTGAGCAGCTATCCACACTTTTTATGATCGACGCCCGGGCATTCCGGCGAGCCGAGTCCGCCATGTTGTTTGTGGACTCATAAATTTACTAAATAAAATAAAAGAAGATGAGCAACAGCGAAATGGTGGTAGTATGGCCAACACAAAGCAATGGCTTCACCAGCAGGACCGGGGTGGTCTGTTTCATGTAAACGACTCCACATTCCTATTCTTCCAGGAGGTAGAAATTGTGTGCAAAAAGCATCTCAGAATTGCAGAGATTACTGATGGCAAAAATATACATGAACTGATTTTCAAAGGCATCCAATCTAATAGAAAAATTCAGTCTTTATGGTCATGCATTACAAGAAGTGCTGACAATGACGAGATGTCATCTTCACTAGCAACTATGATTGTGAAGCTGTATGTTCAAGTTAGGTGTTTTTCATTTTGCAAGAGTATTGTTGAACTTTTCAAAACTTCAAGAAACAAACATGTGAAAGGTTCAAAAGGGCTCAGAAAAACACTGAGATGAACTGAAACTAAGGGACAGTGACTGAACAGCCAAAAAAGGAAAAATACTGTAAAATACTTTATTTTTGGTGGGGGAATTATTCAGTGAAAATAAAAACCAGTGAATACCTTTTTACCAGTCCCTGTAATTTTACATTCAACTTGTCAAAAAATCATGAAAATAAATTCCATACAAAACACCTGAAAAGTGTTTTTAGTAAAAATTAACTCCAGCGAAAATAAAGTACTTTACAGTAGATTTTTTCACAATAATTTTAACATCATTTTTGTAATATAATGCAAGTTATTTATTCCACACATACCATTAAGAAAACTTAACAATTTACATTGTAATTTTTTTTACAGTAGATGTGTTTTCACAATAATTTTGCTATCATTTTTGTATTATATGCAAGTTATTAATTCCACTGATGTCATTAATAAAACTTAACCATTGACATTGTAAAAATATTTAATTACATTAAAATAAAAAAAAATGTGATACACACTAGTTTTGTATTCAACCCTTTCGGTGCTACCATTTTCATGCCAACATTTTTTTCCCAATTTTATTCCTGACCAAAATAGAGAGAGGTGGCAGTAATAGGGACAAACTCAGATTTTTCTTTAAAATTCATTTTCTGTGTGCATTTTGTTGCTTGTTGTGAGTTATTTATTCCACTTTAA